TTGTTTACGGAGACAATTTTCTTCTTCGGCATCTCTAATGTCACTGAAAAGTAACTTTTCGCGTATGTTTTTTTAATATGCATGGAAATTTTCCATGGATTCACTTCGTGAAGTAAGGAACCTTTATTTCTCTGAATATCTAATGCTTCTGTCATCCTTTGGACTGACGTATACTGTGTCCATATATTTTAAGTTTTCGCAGTTTTCATAACTCTACAATGCTTAAGATTTCTGAAATCGACTACCATTTTGACACTGATGAGTTTTTACCGGGTTTCGTTCTTGCTTTACTTGACATTTTAATTTGTAGTGGCTGGCGTAGTGGGTGAATGTATTTTTGATTGGTCCTGTTGCTTCAACTAACTAGACCTACGCTTAGTGGGTTGGTTGTCTGATTTTCAGAATGCTAAGAAAATTTGTTGTCTTGGATAGTTAAATGCTCAGCTTGCAGCTATTTGGAGATGCCAGAATTCTTTTACTGACTGTCAGTCAACTACTGAATATTCCTAATTTTCCAGTTCTTTGCTCATCTATACTATGCAAAATTTATGCGCTTTCAAATCCAAACGTACTTGAAGATGAAAGAGTTGCTGAGACATTCTTCGGTTCGGGTCTATTGGCTTTATGGTGGATTAGAAATTTTCAGTCACTAGGTCAATACCAGAATTACTGTCACTGAGGGAATCTTAAACATTTAACTGACTGTTTGTTATTTCCTTTGATATCGTTATTTCCGTTGGGTTTTAGATATACGTTTTTATCTGAATTTTGACTTGTTTTTTATAATTTCGACCCTAGACACTTTTGGCTTTGCACCGCTTTGGCCTGATATTTGAGAAATTTTAATCTGGAAACCTAAAATTCAAATGTTTATTATGAAGTTTGCCACAATTATTATGGGAATAATATATTAAAGCTGACTACTTGAAATTTATAGATAAATTTCTCATATCTAAGTTGGAACGTAAACAAATGGTAAAGTACTACCTTTCTCTTCCATCACTGAGATCAAGAACTAGTGCAGTCAACCAGGGGAGTGTAATAGGTTCACTCGTTTTTCTTATGTATATAAACCATAAATATAATATCACAAGATTTGGGAAACCATACTTATACGTTGATGATTTCAAAATAGTATGCAGCTTTAAGCCTGAGGCTCTAAGTGAAGGTGTATCTCAGATCCAAAGCGACCTCAATAATCAGAATCTTATAACACATACCATTAGTTATCTTCATAGTAGTGTGATACAATACAGAAGCTTGAGCCATCTGATTTGTTTGCAATATGGAACTAGTAGAGACAGTGTATTCTAAAAGGGGGAAAAGGTGAAAGCAATAATAATTTTTATCACAAACGTAAGAGAGCCTAACATCACAAAAGGAGGGGGTGACGTTACTGACCAGCAAAAATGATGGTGGAGAGATAACTTCAATACACCAATGTCTGTAGAGCAAAATATTTCGTTTAATTACGGCTCCTCACGGTTCGGTGGAATGGTATTGATGCTAATTTATTATGCTAAATTCCTCCTTAAATCGTGTTTTTAACACTGAATTGGTCTCACTTCCTACTGAGTAATCCCATCACAAGCTGAGCTAGACAATTCGCTAAAAACGAAGCCTGCTCACGATTTTATAAAATCTATAAAAATAAAAAAAATGAGCTGAAATGGATTCGACAAAAAAAGGAGACAGCCATTTGTGTCAGAATACTGTTTTCAGTATTATATTTTAAAACTACACATAATCCTATACTTTCAGTTATTTTTTCCCGCCTCCATTCATACAGTACTTCATCCACTCATACATTATTTGAACATATTATTTTAACCTATTAGAATGTGCTATATCCTGCTGGCCTTGTCTAACTCTGAAAATAAACTTCAGCTAGAACAAAATTATGTTTCATGTGATATCAATCGAGAAATCTGTGTGGACTCATATCCAGAAAATAACTATAGCAATACGATGAGCTCAGTTGTTTCGATAGTTGAGATCATGATTCAATTGAAGCTAGACCACAATAGAACAATGGGACTCCTCAGCATTGCACATCTACAAAACCCCTTCTGATACTAATCAACTTATGCTCACTAGTGACTGGCTTCAAGAGGTATTTCCTGGAGTTCTAGTGAGAAGCACTGACCAGTGGAGTTCAGCCGGGTCTGTAGTGAGATAGTACCTCACTGATGACAATGGTGGGTGTGTCGCTCATCTTGGTGGGTTAGTTGAAGCTAGACATTAACACCATGCCGGCCCAGTGATCTAATGGTTTAGCGCATGGAGCGAGACTGATAGGTCCCAGGTCCGAATCCCGCGAGGCGAGGTCGTGGATGCGCACTGCTGAGGAGTCCTTAAATAGGACGAAACGACCGTCCAGTGCTTCCAGGTTTTCCATGGTGGTCTAGCTTCGATTGATTCATGATCTTAACTATTGAAGTTACTACAATCTCAACGTAACCCCTTCTGATACGAACCCAGTTGTGCCAGATGATACTCAGAATCATTGGGAGACAGGAATTTATATTGAACCAACTTATCTGATTTCTCATGACAATGTACCAGATATGGGTTCTCATGATAATGCACATAGGTTTGGTGAAATTTCTTATAAAAATGAGAAAGATATATCGGCTGAACCAAGTTATGACCGAAAATCTAAACCAATTTTGCTAGATGTTGATTTTTCTAGCGATCTAGTATCCACTAACGAGATCGGTAATTAATTTAAAGAAAGCGTTTCAGAAGAATCAAATCCTGGTTACCCCAAATCAAATGACTATCTAGCCATTTCTACTGGCTTCTCCATGCAATGCGAGAAACGAGAATTAAATAAAGTCATATTAATTGCAACTTGAAGATGTGAGGACTCGACATTATTTCGTGGAGGAGGATAATGTCGGGAAATTTAAAGTTGCCCATAATTTTGAAAATTCTGATCTTCGAAAAAGGGGAGGCGTCGTATCTTAGCGAAGATTAAATTACGAGTAACTTCTGAAATCTATTAATGGACTAATATTCTCTATATATTCTTATGGTATAATTATTCGGGGTTTAGATTGTGTATATTTATATTCTTATTATGAGCTTCATTTTGACCTATAGACTATTATGATAAGATTTACTGTTCATAAGTTATGTTCGGTTTATTAGTTACAGTCTCCCACGTTCACAGCCACATTTTGGCTTTATTGTGTATAAATGTTATCCCCTATTTTACGGTGCGTTGCGGTCTGTTTGGTTGATATATAAACCCAGAATGTCTGAAATAAATGATCCGCATAGTGGAGGCTGTTATTGGCATTCTGGACTCAAGTGGACGGACTGGACGAGCAACGGACCAATAGGACGCTAGGCAGATCAGACCGAACGAACGTCATTGTTTTAGTACAGTACAAGGGCGAATAAGTCGTATTTTGATTTGCGAATAAATTACGGGACAACTAGCGGGCCATAAAGACACAACAGAATGCTCCTGCTTAAACCGTATCTTAATAAAAGAGAGACAGACTAAATAGTCACACCCTAACTATCCATCCATAAATGACTCAACTTCAATATCGACGAACATTGTCTGCTCTCATTCTCGTCCTTTCTTTTTTTACCCTGCTTCTCAGCCCCCTCGAGATATGTCACCGAAAACACATATGAAACGGGTGACTTCGTCCTGCGCCACCAATAATGTCTCAGGTGTTCCAGAGGAATATAAGGTTGTGGTCCGAAGAAGCTCTCGACTTTACGTGAATTTATTCTCGACCATCGGTTGCACGTCGCAACGCAATACCTATAAAGGGCGCCAAATGTCACATTTACTATATGAGTCTTACTAATGTTGTTTATGTTCGTGTGTGAGGAGAGTTGTTTCCCATAATTCTATGAACAATGTAACCCATAAAACATCAACCACAGTGAAGACTGTACCCTCCATAACAATTTGATCTTGCCTGTAAACTAGCAGGTCTCATACAACAGACTGTTATTTGGGAATAAGTTATTATTATCTAATTTGTTGAGGTATGTGCGTTTCCTGGCGATAATAACCACCATGGATTTGTTTCCACACAGCAATTATTAAAAAACTGCGCGATGCACTGTGATCTTCGTGCTATGTAAACATGTCAAGTACCACAAAGAGCGAAGTTCTGCTCGAGGAGTTCACCAATGACTACCACTCATTGCACATGCTTATCAAACCTTAAACAATGAAAATCATCCGTTCATGATGTGATGCACTTAGAGATGTGTGCACACAAGTGATGCTTACTAAAGATATCACAAATATTCGGATTTTGGCAACACTTTTGCTCATGATACGTAGTAAACCGATCACTATCAACCCAGTCACAACAGGAGTTAGAGGCGTTTAATTTTTGTAATTAACGGATGCTATGATAGATGATACATCTCCATTAAAGTTGACTCCAGGGTTCATTGCTATAGAAGCAATATTAACCCGTGCCCAATCAATAACCGTTGGCCGCGCTGGGTTTAGCAAAACAAGTAATGAGAAATCCTAGTATGACTCAATCTGCTGATAATCACTGGATGGCTGGTCGCAAAACGCCAGCCAGTAAGTTAATGACATGTCATATTTGTAAACGGTCACTACCTAATAGATAATTAATGAAATTTTTCCAGGCACTTAGACCAAACTGGGCAAAGTGAAGTTTGAATACGAAACCTAATAGTTTAAATTTAAGTGTCCTAATCACTAAGCTATTGCTCTTCAGGATACATTGTTATCTTACTTGGTATTCGTTGGTAGGTGTTTCCGGTAACACGAATCTAAGGCCTATCACATTTATCACAAGAGCTATCAATTTATAACGGTTACATACTACGAAGCAAACACTCAGTTTTGACTAGGATTTTTCTGTTTTTTCGCTTAGGAATCTTTCAGTCTCCGTAAATTAATATGCAACCGAATATCCACCGACTCGATGTTTTCATCTATCACTTGTTTAATATTAGTGAAAACCATATAAGTTCAAAGAATAAACTTACTCATGAGAATGAACATTTGAGTTTGTTTGCTCTGAGCTATTTTCCAAACTATCATTTAATCCATGAATACAACCTTTATCTTGACGATAAGATAGCCAACGTTGAGGGTTAGATGACGCAAATAATTCTCTGTTAATTGTTGAGTTGCCTTTAGGAACTAATTTTCCACGGATAATAGGTGTTGCAGGAGCGAATACATCGTTATTGTTATCATTGAAAAGTGAAAATGTTGAAGAGAGCGTACAGCCGGTCTGACTGACATCTTGCAAAACATTTGCTAGAGTACTACCTTCAATATTACTGTTGTCTAAGCAATCCCCATTACTGGTAGTTTCTTTTAATGGATGATCAATGTTCAGTGATGAACAATTAGACAGATAATCTTCTAAAGCTAGCAAACCATCTTCAGAGCTTAAGTCAATGTAATCATCCAAAAATTCCCAATATTCATACCAACTTGTCCCGAAAACACGTGATAAATACCTGGAGTAAAAAGTGTATTTACTAAGAATTTTTGGATACATAGGATATGTACATCAAAAAACACGTCTATTTAATAGGCTTTAAATTGCACTTTTCACGTGTAGGCTGATTCCACTACTCGACTTCACAAAGTTAAGCATGTCGAGAGTCGAATGCTTTTCAAAGTACTCCTATTGAGAATCGTATGTGTCGAGTTGTTTGGTGGTTTAAAGTATACGAGGTCACTACAGTCGTCTATAATTCCTAAAATAAACCATTGCCAGAACTAGAAGTCAGATTAATATCCATTCAGACGTATAAACAAAGTTGGTTTCTTTTATAAGGCGTTCTATGAGTTCTCATAAACAAACCAACTTACCGTCCTTGGCGTTCATATCCTTTTTCCGAATCAATTAGACGAAGATGTGAAAAAGATTTGTAGTCAACAGCATTTGGTGCATTGTATTGAAGCCATTTTTTTCGAAATTCAACAGCCTATAACAACATGAAAATTGGGACGGATTAGGCATCATATATAGTTTCCTATTTTGGGAAGTTTTACAAGTTGATGTTAAACATTTAACAAATAATTAGATGAAATTCGACTCGTATAGACTAAATCACTTTTTTAGGTCGCATTACTTCCATCAAAAAGACTAGGTTGAATGACATGTAACAAAGTGATTAGTGCCGGCCCTTATGCTTGAATTCGAGTCACATAAATCCATTCACAACTAGAAGTATCAGTTAAGGGCTCTGACATCAGTTCGGTTAAAATTGGATCTGTGGTTAAAAAGTTGGTAATCTGACTGCAGAACTGGGTTGACCAGGTTTGGATCTGATGGGAAGTATTAGTTTCTTCAGGTTGGCAGATACACCCTACCGATGAAAACCAAGCACTTGTTCTAGGTCCACGGATTGTTGCTGACTGTCGTTAGCTATTTAAAACAAAACGAATTACAGCACTACGCGGATTTAACATAATCGATGAAATATGACACCGTTATATTGTTCTATTTGTGTGTTTTGATTAGTTGGGGTAAAAAACGCATGAGAATCAAATGAATGTTTGTAAATCGAGAAGCATTTTCATGAATTAGATTAAATCTCAAATAATTCTTACGACTAAGAAATATCAACTAATAGAATATGAATAAGGGCTCTCTACATTGCAGTCCACAGGTTTGAATAGTCGACTTTTTACCCCATTTTATTAAATTTCGTGTACAGTAATTGGAACTTTCAAATACTTTAAACTGTACTGAGTTATACTCTATTTTCTTTTGAGCACACAGTTATCTCTATCTACAATTAAGTTTTAGGAACCAAGGTGAACATCAATGAGTCTGAACAAACATATTGTGAATAGTTTCTAATAAAAAATTGGGTAGTTGCTTTTAGATGAACTAAAAAGATTTTATCAGATAAGTGGGAGACTTACTCCTACAGTACCAGAGAACTGGTCACCCAAGTCACCCCCTGAAGCCTAAAAATAAATAAGAATGGTAAAAACAGGTTTATCACTCCACACCCTACCTGTATTCCCCAGGATCGCAACTGTAATTACTCCCAGAAAGAAAACTTTTCACACCCTTTAGTACCGACCCATGACATAACAACGGCTCCCATGTATACCAACAGTCGCAACTCCTCCCAGTTTCGCGCAGCAGACACCTCTCACACTAACGTAAATAGCCATAACAGAGGCTACGAGTCTAACCATCAAGACTATTTTGCAAATAACCGTACACTTCACAGTAGGCCTGTACAAGATTTTTTTGGAATAAGACCCCTAGTGACACCTCTGTTGAAGCACATAGTCCAGGTTATTTCAAACCACACGCAAACCATAAATTTATTTCCTCCGTACAGTTTCCATCAGAGAGTACTCCCACCCTTTCCTCCTGGGTAAACTCTCCAATCAACTTCACTAGCTCATTTGGTACATCTCCTACTAAGTCTAGCTATCGAAATACCAAGCTAATGAAGAACATTCAATCCCTCACTTCAAACTCATTTCACAGCCGCGAGGGTTACGACGACTTCATCCGAGATACCCTCACCCATTTTAACTTAGTAGGCCACTTGCTTCATATGTGTCTTATCAACGCTCGATCGATCTGTAACAAAAAGACGGATTTAGCCCTGTTTGTATCCATATATCAACCATCACTTATTATGATATCTGAAGCATGGACAAACAGTAGTATTTCCGACCGAAGTATATCACTTGATAACTATTTCCTGTATAGAAGCGATAGATTGAATGGACGAGGCGGAGGATGCCTTATTTACGCTCACTTTGGCCTAAACTCACTACTATGTGATATGCCTAAACTAAACAAACTGAAGGATTCGGTGTGGATTGTATTAAAGCTGTCGAATTCCGTTACCTTACTGCTTGGTTGTGTTTATCGTCAACCTAACGCATCAATAGATGAAATAGCAGTATTATCGGAGGTATTCACACTAGCACCATCCCTCTCATTCACAGGCAAGCTCATTTGTGGTGACTTCAATATGCCCGAAATTTCTTGGCTGCCAGTCAAAGCGCCGAGACATTATGAATCATTTATTGAATGTCTAGAGCTTGGACAATGGACTCAGTATGTCGATAGCCCTACCAGACATCAAAACATCTTAGACTTAGTCTTTACCAGTGGCCTCATCCCCAATACTTTGTATATTGGAAAAAAGTTCCCAGGTAGTGATCATAACATTGTCATATGCAGCCTTAATGTAAAAACCACAACCGATAGAAGTAAAACCGTAACACTTCGTAGAAACTATCGCAAGGTTGATTGGAATAACTTCCACAATTACCTAAGAAGCACTGATTGGAGAACTTTCTTTACCTCAAACAATACCGACACATTTACCAATATCTTTTATCACAACATCAAAAGTATCATCAACAACATCGCACCTTTAGAATACTGTAAACCTGCGTTCTCCAAAGATCTCTATATACCGATCAGTGCAAGAAGACGTCTTCAAAGACATTGTACTCGACTCCACAACTTAAATCACTTTTCCTCTTTAGTAACGATGACAGAAATACTTGTCCGAACAGAGGCAATTAGTACACAAAAATCAGTCGCACAGGAAAAACGTGCAGTTGAACTTAATAATAACCCCTCTGCACTCACCATACTCCTCCAAAGTAAACTTAAACGTTTTAAATCGAGAAGGAGTACATTCATTGAGGGCAAACAAGTATACGAAGATCCCAAACTTGTCACAGAATTATTTAGTGAACATTTTTGTTTCTCACTAACTAACGAAAAACCATTTAATGATCCAGAACCAACCCCAGTAACTCCTTGCGAAATTACTAATGTAGAATTCAATGTGCAAAATATCTCTAAGGCAACCAGTACATCGAAGCTCCTACACTGATGAACCAGATGGTATTCCATCTAGCATGCTAAAACGTGGAGGTGATGATACGTGTGTTTTGTTTCTCAAACTATTCACGATATCACTCTCTTCAGCGTGTTACACTGCTGTCTGGAAAACTACACATATCATTCCCAAAATTAAAACAGGACCTGAAGCAAACATTGAAAATTACCGGCCCATAAACATAGCTTCAGCGGTATCCAGAGTGATGGAAAAAGTATTTAAGGCGGCTGTAGTCCAACATCTACTAACTAATAATCACATCTCGACCTCCCAGCACGGATTTCTCAGGTCCAGATCATGCGATACATACCTAGTAGACTACCTGAATGATATAACTCTGAAACGAGGCAGCGGACTCCTTGTATCAGTTCTATTCTTAGACTTGAAGAAAGCCATTGATAAGGTCTTACACAAAAGGCTCATTGTCAAACTTAAGTCCTTCGGAATAAACAACCCACTATACTCATGATTTGCTTTGTTCTTAACAGAACGTAAACAGATGGTAAAGTACAACGACTGTCTCTCGTCACCTAGACCAATCACCAGTGGAGTCATCCAGGGAAGTGTATTAGGTCCACTTTTGTTTCTTGCTACTCAAGACCCTATTATTTATTTATTTATTTGAACACATAAATATTGGTATAAGAGAGCGCCAATATATATGCGCCACACAAAACAATGAGAATTCGGAAAAAGAAAAAAAGTAAGGAGCGTAAAAAAATGGAGAACAATGACGAAGAGATTGGTGTAAGGTAGTGTGGTAGTAATGAGGGAACGGAAAGGTACAATCGGATGAAATCTCTCAGGTAAGGGAGACAACCACTTTTTATGAAGAAGGTAAAAGAAGGTTACAGCAGGATCGCCACTGGCTTCTATTCTGAGCCATATCTGATAACGTCTCTAGCCACTGTGTTGCACCATCTCTCGGACCTCAGCCAAGAAGTCAAGAAGGACCAACAGAAGCCAGTCCTTTGCATCTTTCTTTCATGCCACGACACCATGTCATGCACTGACCACCTCTCCGCTTCTTCCAACCAGTCCCAGAGTCGGCAAATAATGCACGACGTGGAAATCTCAGGGACGAAATTCGTAGAACATGTCCAAGACACCGAAGTCGGTGTTTCAAGATGGTGACACCAATTGAATTATCATCTCTGTGCCCGAACACATGATGCCGAACCTCTGCATTACTAACATGGTGTTGCCACTTGATGTCAGCGATCATTCGGAGACAGCGATGATCGAACACAGAGAGTCGTCTAACGTCCTCAACTCGGAGAGGCCAGGTTTCACAAGCATAGAGCAAAACTGCTCTCACCGATGCGCTGTAGATCCGACCTTTTACAACCAGACTAACATCACAAAGGCGCCAAGGATGGCCCAGATCAGCATAAGCCGCTCTGGCTTTCACTATACGTGCATTGATCTCATCACTCACACCCCCACCAGCACTTATGCAGCTACCTGGATACACGAACTTCTCGACTTTTTCTATCTGCTCACCATCCAGGGTGAGTACAGGATTGAAATCCTGACAGTCTTGTAGAAGTACTTTGCACTTCGAAGGTGCAAAGCACATACCATACCTACGGACACTGATTGCCAACTGATTAAGTGCGGATTGCGTGCCTTGGGCATTATCGCACAGTAAGACAATATCGTCCGCGTACTCAAGGTCGAGAAGTCTTTCTCCAGGCAACAGATCAACACCACCATTACTTACATTCATCAGAGCTGTTTCCAGAATGTCATCGATGGCAAAGTTGAAGAGAAATGGTGTGATTGGGCAACCCTGCCTAACCCCACTGCTCGAATGGAACAATGGAGAGAGGTGGTTGTATGCCCTCACTCTGCCTGAGGTGTTTTTATATAGGGCTTTTAGGATGTTAATAAACTTCTCAGGCACACCCTTCTTCAATAGACAATCCCAGAGAACAGTCCTATCCAACGAGTGGAAGGCAGCCCTGATGTCAAGAAACACTACGATTGTTGGCCTCTGACAAGTATGACGGTGTTCTAACATTTGGCGGAGGGTGAAGATATGATCAATACATCCTCGACCAGAACGAAACCCAGCCTGCTCCTCGCGAGTCAATCTTCCCCGGGTTGTGAACAACCTACGAAGTATGACGGAAGCCAATAGCTTGGACGCAATCGGAAGTAGACTTATCCCCCGATCGTTGTTACAGGGACGACATGAATCCTTTTTAAAGATAGGGACAACTATCGACTCATTCCATGAT